TGCATGGTGGATAGAATATACTTAAATAAACATTCGGTTAGGTAATTTCATGTATCTATGGTCATTTGTTTTAAAATTACATCAAAAACCAAAATCGATTTTGTCAAAAAATGAGTGTGCGTAAAATTTCCCGTTTTTCCCTTAATTTTTAGTTTTTTTCTTTTGATTATTTAGAAAAGTATTAAGAATTTTTCACTTTTGACCCCACAGAGTACTAACTAGATTCACTTTCTGATCGAATGAGGTACTGAAGTCAAAAATCGAAGCATTTTTACTGCCCCATAACGTGATGACAGACACAAAAAAAAAAATACATCATGGTAAAATCAATACATTCATCGCTCCGCTCAGAATCTAAAAAAAATAGTTTTTAATTATATTGGTAATAAGTTGAGTAAGCAGACATATAAAATTTGTTTTGTAATATTAAATTAAAAAGTAATAATAAATCATAGCAATTAAAAATGATTGTGGCTACATTGAAAATTTGAAAAACAAAAACTGTTGCTTCATAGTACCATAGGACAGTGGTGTGTCCAGGAATTTTCAATGGGATGGGATGATAAGTAGAGCACAGATATTTAAACAGCAAAAAGTATCATAATACTAGCATATATAAAACATATAGTAAAAATTATGAAAATATGTAACATATATGCATACAGAATTCAAACAATAGCAATAAGTTACGGCAAAAAAAGTATATCATTAAATCTTTTATTTGATAATTATAAATTATTTGACATACAAATAATATAAAATAAAATATGTAGCTGAATTAGATACCTAATGCAGAACAAATATTTTTTTTATTAATAAGTTTTTTTAAGTTAAATATTTTATTTGTTTATCAAATAGCATTAGTCACCAAAATATATTATTAGAATGTTCTAATTAGCAAAAAATAATATTCTATGCTGTAATTGAAAGTAGCTTATAATTATTATAAGTACCTATTTATTGTATAACTGCTAGGACTTGAGGTACGTTTTCATTGCAGCATCATAGTCTACACCAGTTGTCTTTAACTAGTGGGTCATGAACCATTTTTGGGTCACGTAAGCTTTAAAATTGGGTCGTGATAAGTCTTATTTTTAAAATACTACTGCAAAACATTAAGTAATTTTAACTTTTTTACAAAGCTTACATGGATCTCAAAAAATGTAGGCCTAAAAAAGTGGGTTGTGAGTCCAAAAAAGTTGAAGACCACTGGTCTAGACGCAGACTATCTAATGGAACAGTATTGACGCTAAGCACCCATACTCTCCAAGGATAACATATTGATTACTGATACTGTTTGAAGTAGTTGACAACCGATTACTTAAGCTAAAAACTTCATGCCCTAAAAATCCTTTAATATGCACAACTGCTTAATATAGTAAAATTGAATTAATCAACCAAAACATTGAAGTTAACATTTACTTATTACAAATAACATGGTAGATCCACATAAAAATAAACATAAATCAATAATTTATACTTTGGAGTTTGCCACAACTTAAAATAAATAAGCCCTAATTTAAATATTCATGCAAAATACTTTTCATTTGTACAAGAATAAAAATTTAAAAAAGAAAAAATCTAAATCCTTATATTAGTAACTATAAATTATTCACTTTATAGCGTCATTTTCTGCCAAGATCTCTGTAATAACTGATATTTGGGCTTCACAGTTGACAAGTTTTGAACAAAATACATCCTGTAAGTATTATAATTAATACATTTAATGCACCAATTTTAATTAATATTTTCAATCAATAAAATTAATTTTACAGGTTTAGGTATCAACAATTTTAAAACAAAATAATGATGATGCTTTACAAAAGTGGCACTGTCTTACTTAAAAGACCAAACACAATTTTTTGTCTTGAAAAGAAGTTTTATAGTAAATTAATGTTCAGGAGCTAACATTTAGTTTTATTAATATTTGTTATGCACTARCACTAGTAATGTTAAGACAACGAATGAGGATGCAATGTCCTHTTATTGTAAACATGGGTACTGCAAATATTTGCAATAACAAATATACCACAAGAATTGTAGTCCCCCAATCTCCTATTTAATATATGATTAATTGTAAAATTCTGGAATATTCTAAAATAAAAGAAAGGGTAAAAGAATATCACACTAGTGATTAGTGACTGAAAACCTAAATAATTTGTATGTATTAAAATGCCTTATAATAAATAATATATATATAATTAATTACAAATATATTACTTACAAAAGATAAGTGATCCATAGTTTAAAGTATTTTGCAYGCGTGATTTTTCATATAAAGACAATTTATGATCMACATAAACTTATAWCCTGACTATTGATAATCAACTGCAAAAATAAAATAYATATTGTAATAAGTACATTAGTTTAAAACAGCATTTGTATTTGTATATTGTATTATGGAGTTTTTAACTATTTAATTTTTGATCCTTAGTACTGTCTGGAAAAGTGGAAAATCAAACAATATAATATAATATGATGATGGTCACTTGTACAGCAAACAATGTCATCAGAATAGAATTGGGTGCTATATAGGTTGGCCGTTCATTTCTAAATAGGAATCAAATGAAATAAAAAGGATTATGGTTGCAACTTAGACACTCATGCTTATTAAAGATGTATCTATTTGGAAGTATAGTAATAGTTGTACCCAGTCACGGTAAAAACATAAAAATATAAAATATAATAGCCAAATGTCACACTCTAAYATCTCTTGAGAYACTCTAGTATGACTGGATACTGGTATGTTCTCAATTGGGTTCTGTGCTACGTCACATTGTCTGTTAGTTGGTATTGTCCACCACAAAACTTAGACAGACTTACATCWTAATTAAACATAAATAACAAATCTAACAGATCTTACGTTATTTCTTTCAAGTCGAGTTAATACCAGAGTATTTAGCAATGTTCTATAGTTCACACTATACATACACAGTTATACTCACTATACAACAACGACGAGATGATGGCGATCCACAGCTGATGGCGTCCTAACTTAAAGCATTCAACACAGAATGTTCCTAACCTATTCAAGTTGTAGGTGCAGAAACTTAGAACGAATTATTGTTTCAAACTCCAGCATTTCAGTCCGGTATAAAGTAAAAAAGTTTAGTGAAGTAACAAAGATAAAGACAATTATGTTACTTTAAATTTTACATGGGAACTTCACAGGTAAATAAAATAACATAGGTCATAAACTCATAACCATGATATATCATGCTCATAACGATACCGTACGACGGTAGTCGGTAATCACTAATCAATGCGGCAAAGACTCATAATCATAAACAATATTAACCGTGGTCCGCGATTGTTTTCYGTAGAATTAATGTCGACTATCGATCGTGTAATAATTGTGCGCGCGTCTTTTAGAAGACAGATCAACACCAGGAGCGCTGTCGAATTGGTTAGGCTGGGGCTATACATGGCGATATTCGCCGCGAAATCCGCCCGACGAGTTTTGCAGCGAATATCGATCTGCGAGGCTCTACAGTCTACACAGCGAATTCGCATGACTGATTCGTTCAATATTTTCGCCGCGATTTTCAAAATATTTCTACCATAATTATTTTGCCATGATTCAGTTCCGATGTTATTAATATAATTCTATTACACAAATTATACACCCATCTGGTGGGCTTAGTTCAAGAAGTCAAGAACATTCACATTGCATGTGTGAGCACGTACAATACCTGTTCATTTTTCAGTCGTTTTCGTTTACTTTATATATATACTTTTTTCGTACCTAGTGAAATAATTTGTTTAGATATATTATGTTTATGATGTTTACGATATTTGCGATATCATCTACAATAATATTGTATTAAAATACCGTACTATGGTAATAATCGCCGCGAAATTCGTTGAACCAAAATACCTGTATAGCCACTAACATAAAGTTATAACAAAAAGTTATGGAAATAGACGGGTTTGCGGTTTTATGAATTTTGGGCGGTTTCAAAAAAAATCGTCGGTCGACGACGAATATCGCGGCGAAATTGTATAGCCTCTCCGATTTAAACATATAGGTTTTCGACGACAACGGAAATCGCCGTGTATAGCCCCAGCCTTAGGCGGTTTCTCCCGTCGTGCCTACGAGTCGGGATACTATAATCAGCTTATATTAGATATGTCATATGTATTTGCTCGAAATTTCGTATACGTTTTGCAGTAGAAATTGTGTTTAGTATTTGCCAATTACCATATTTTTATTCGTTGATTTATTAGAAAAATKTATTAACTAACATGAAACTTTTTTTTCTCATGTTTTGAACCGACGGAACCRCGGGAATAATTGTGTTAACATTACTTCCGCGACGCCGCCTATCGACATAAAACTATGTCTAAACTCTAAATAATATAATAATATTATACCGAATTTGAAAGTGATAATTGTTTCCACCAGACTGGGGCCTAGTCATCTGTCTTACCAATTGGTCATGACCTATGCGTCGTGGCCGCATGTGGCCACGTTGCGCGCCAGGTACAAACTCCAAGCGYGGTAAAAACCATATTGGGTGATCTACTTTTCCGCYAAAATCGACCTTTCCGTTTAACGCTAATATATATTGTATATTTCCTTTTTCCGCCATCACAAATTTCAGTTTCTATATTTTGGTAACTCCTAATTGAWGGAATTAAAATATTTTATAATATACCTACGTATAGTTTATTACAGATCATATTTTCACAATCTTTTTTTTTTCTCAATTAATAGAGAAAGAGGAAAGATTACGTTCACAATTTATGCGACAACTGGCAATAAAGCGTTTCTGGTTTGATCTTTTATACATATATAGAGTTTACGATACTTATTACATTATAGTTTGTGTTGAAGTTCGAGAAAAAAAGAGTACACTCCGCACAATGGAAAATATAATTGAGAGTAATCGTGGTTAAAAGCAGTTGATTTTAAATAATTTTAAATTTCTAATTGGCTCATGTATTAAAGGACTTATTTGTTGGTATTGTACTACTAAAAACTGTACAGCAAAAGTTTATACAGATGAAAATAATACAGTTATTAACGTTATAAATACGTCACATCACAACCATGGTGAGTATTCCAGCCAAGCATTGAAAAAGCAGGTGCTAAATATATCATGTAAAATAAAAGCTATTAAAAATGTAAGTACCAGACCAAAAAAATAAATAATTCTAACTGAAATCGGAAAAAATAGTAATTCATCAGATATAATAACGATATAAATAGAATCAGAAAAATATTTATTAAAATCGACGCAAAATTATGCCTCAAAATCCTACTATATAGCTGATACCATTAATTTTATAATATATTAATATATTATATATATTATAAGTATATAGGATTTTCTTGAGGAGGGGGATATTAAAATTTTTTTAGTGTTGATGCAACCTTTTGTTAGTTACTCCATGTAAGGCTAACAATAAAACAAATAATATTGATTTTAATTTTACTCTGTTTTATTAATTTATAGAATAAATTCTAGGTTTCTGTTTTTTAAGCACAATTCATCAATTACTTCATCTGTTGTAAATTCTACCTTTCTGTGACAAGAAAGCATAGCCAAACCATTAAGTTTAGTCTATAATCACAAAACACATACATTTTTAAACAGTTAGTATARACATTTTTATTGAAAATTGAAAGATATAATTACAAAATATTTACCTCTTTCAGTCTTTCATACTATTCCTGAGGTAAAACTTTATTCTTTTTAAACAAGAAAATTAACGCTTAGGAGTGGCTGTTGACACTGGAAGGGTACAGAAGATTTTTAATAGCATATTTATATTTGGATATAAGATATAACTCTTCATCCCTGTAGGCCTGACCTGAGAACAATGTGTTCTAKAACTATAACTTAGTTCTCCACATATTTAATTCAGGCAAACTGGAGCAAGGGACAAGGGTCTATTACAGGTGAGTAAAAGTCTATAAGTTTGGTTAATTCTTCTCTATCTTTTTATTTAATTGGAAGTGCTTCTGTTTTAAAAATACAATCAAACCTTAAAACAGTAAATATTATATAAATTAAATAAGCACACAGTTTAAAATAATACAGCTGAATTAATCTTAATTTAAATTATTTCAATATTTAACATTTCAATGTTTTGTTACATTTGTAGAGTTACAGTAGGTAATAAGTATAAAACCAAAAATATAAATACCTTCAAAAATATTTTTATGGTTTATAAATCGTTCAGTAAGTTGGAAAATAAAATAATCAACATATGGTAAGAACACTGTAATCCGATAGTATWGTTCAATTGAGTCATATCTTGAATAATTGGATTAGCTTTTTGAGTTTGTTTTGTAATTGTTCTTTTTTTTTTTGGTAATTCAATACCAACACCATCTGCTATTTTCTAAAAAATATGATACTTTAATTACAGTTTTGAATAATTTATTGACATTGAATTGTTYAAGTGTTTATCGATAATTTATAAAAACCTTAATGTTATTGTAGACTATRMTAAATTCTACTTTATTATTTTCTCGAATAGACTTTAAAGTGGCCATCAAATTTTYTACTATGTATACAGTTCTTCCAAGATCAAKTTGTACTTTTTGTAGTTGCTTACACAATGGAAGGAAGACCAAATGAAAATAACTGAAATCAAATTTCAAAAATTCAATTAAAATAATAATTAAATAAACTAAATTAAATATACCTTAATAAGAAGCTCTTTTGTGATGGATATATCCGTTGTTATTCATCGGCGAGAACCGAGAAACATTTTGATTTTTTGACTTTATATACTATTTTTCGTAGTAATATTGTATTKCACACCTCTACTATTTCGTTTTGAATGACTGGACTAGTGTACAATGTACTTATTACGTTTACCTGAAACTTCCAGAACAGTACATAGAAAGTCGTCTCCTTTGGTTCTATACTTCAATAAGGTACGACAATGACCTTGTCTTATATCATCTAAAAATTCAAAATACCATWAGAGCTAGTTAATAAGTTACTTTGCTTAAAATGTTTGCTAACCATCAACATTGATTGGACCAAAATCTTTACTACCCCTTAGAGCCAATTCTTCTTTACCACATAATATACYTAATGCATTTAGTAATTGGTTTAATTCTTTTTCAATTTTCTTCTATTTGTAGTGCTCTAAAATAACATTAAATAAATAAATTTATATAGTTTAAAGTGATATAACTACTATGGCATAAAACTACCACTTTAAATTGCCTAATTTTATTTAAACGTTCGATTATAGAAGGTTCTTTTTTATCCATTATTTAAAAAAATTGCTCAGAATCTAGTACATATATACCTGGAATATTTGCAATTAAAATTAAAACAAAAAATTAAAAAGTTATGTGAATGCGACAGTAACAATATTCCCTAAAGGTTGACTTCCAATCTCACCATTTCTGGCAAACAGGACATAGTATTTTAAAAAAGTACCATTTTTTTACATTAGAATATGCCAGCAAATTAAACTTTTTTAGCCACTTATGTTGAAACCATTGGTCACGTTTCTTATTTTTTTTCGAGTAATGGGAATTTGTAAAAATCATCTGGTACCCACAAATTAGTAAGCATCTAAATGAGGTAATATTATATAGTGTACTCAAAACTCAAAATGTATTTGAATAATTACAGTATTTATATAAATTTGCTTAAAAAATGAATTTACAAGCTTTCTATCAGCATGTGTCAATACCATTGGCGCAAATCACCCAAAAACATTAGGGGGGGGCTTAAGCACCCCAACAATAATGTTTGAGGAAACAGATCAAATTTCCTGTTAATATCATAATTTCACAACAATTATTATGATATTTTAAAATATGTTTATATGCCATTGCAGTTTAATATATCCAGACGTAAACTCGATATATAATATTATAAATAATCAAATAAATATGAAACTGTTTTTGAATTTTTAATAAATGTAATCATTATGGAAATGTGATGGTAATAATATTATAAGTTATAACCACGGGATTAGTTCCYGAGTTCTATTAGTTCTAYCAAGTGCTAAATAGTAGTAGCTGCTGAATTTTAAAAACAAAAAAAAATAACAATGATTCTATGATTATACATAACTTTTTTTTATGAATATTTACAAATGATACGTAGTTGCTCAATTCTAATATGTCTTAATTAAAAACCTCTTGGTATACCACATTTATGGTTTTATTTTGTGGTGCATAAACGTACAAATGGTCAGGTCATCCAACTCTAGCAAACATAAGTGAATATGTAGTATGTAGTAATAGTGCTGAATACATAAG